ACATTTTTGTTGAAGGAAGGCACATTATCAAGGCCTGAGTCTTTCTTATTCCTACCCGATGATGAAATGTGAAAGACAAACAAGTCCGGCTTCGAAGAAGTACGGCCAGAGGGCTCTTGAGAGGTCAGGACGGCGAGACTTCGTTTTCCATCCTTCGGACAGGTTGCGGGAGAAGCCAGTCCCTGGAGAAGGACATTGTGTTTGGTAAAGCAGAGGGGCAGCGAAAAAGAGGAAGGTCTTTAAGGAGAGGAATTGACACCGTGGCTGTGACCATGGGCTGGGGCAGGGGAGAGGCTTTGAGGAGGGGCAGGACCGGGCAGGGCTTCCTTCTGTGGTCCGCGGGGTCACTGTGGGCTGGAACCGACTGGAAACCTCGCACCAACAGCCCCAATTATTGCTGAAAACTCACAACACAGGCCTTGAAGTGTGAAGGAGCTAAGAAACGATTCAAGCCACACACATTCAAGGAGTTGAGGAGCAAAGCGGAGCTCCATGTGTGGGCGCAGGAGAGCCACCTGACAAGCAGCTAGCAGGAGGAAGCAGGGACCTAAATGCGGAGTCGTCCATAGAGGCACGGGACACTTTCCGACTGAAAGCATGGGCTCCTCTCAATGCCATTGCGAAAACAACTTTGAGCCTCCTAGGGAGATATGGAGACAGACGATGGCCAAGGGGAAGAGCAGGAGTTCTGTGACCCCAAATTGTTTCCTAGGTCTGGGCATGGTTGGCAATATCTGTATTGAAGAATATGAGGGCAGCCAGAGAGAAGATTCTAGAAGCAGACACGGGGTCATCCAGGCATGCTGTCTACCCTCGGTTTGACTTTGCTACATCGAAGGAGCCCTCGTGGCACACTGGATTCTGAGTTGGGCTGCTGAGCACAAGGTTGGCAGTTCAAGCCTAGCTGCCATGATGAGACTTTCAACTCCCATCAAGATTTAGCCCCTCAGAAAGTTTCTTATAGATGGTTGCTACGAGTCGGAATTGGCTCGATGGCAGTGAGTTTGAGTCTGGCTAGTGTGTAAGGGGTAGTGTGTTACACATTAGGCTGCCAACCACAAGGTCAGCAGTTCTGATCCATTCCCCAGGGGAAAGACGAGGCTGTCTGTTCTTGTAAGGATGTCCAGAGTAGAAACCCCTAAGGGGCAGTTCCACTTGTGCTCTAGGGATGCTGTTCATCCAAATCAATTCCACGACCAGGGGTTTTCAGAGCGTGTAGCTTGTACAGCTCTTACTTAGGAATTTGGGGCAGGACTTACATTCAACTGTTACAGGTAACAAAGTGATGTTGGTTGCTAAAGTATTAAGATACTGCCATATGATTTGGTCCACAGTTGTTCTAGCCTGCCTCCCGGACTCCTCTCCAGTTTCTACAGAATTCCAAGCTCCAGAGATAAAGTTGGAGGCTGCTGGTCCTGTATTCTAGCACAGCAGATAGTATCTATTCTGATGGGTGGGAACTCCGCTCTTGGTCCATTTAATATTTTTATGATCACCTCTGGCTTGAGGAGGAGTACCCTAAAGGCCTGAACATTCCTGAGAAAGTAGAAAGAAGTAATGTAATGCTTCTGAAGTGGGGCCACAGTGGAGGGCATTCGAGGAATCCAGAATTATGTTCAAAGATAATCACTTACATTGACTTCGTGTCAGCCAAGAGAACTCTTATCAACTGCATCTGTTCATGGCCTTCTCAGTAGTCACAGGGCACAGCAAGGTACATAAGGGTCTTGTCTAGTGACCCTCAAGCTTATCTGGAACTGTCTCAGATGTCTTTGGGAGTCTGAAAGAATTCACTGTTAGATCCTTCAAAATCTGTACAGTTATAGGAAAGCGACCAAAGGATGCCTCAGAACACTGCGCAGTAGAGGTCCCAGGGCTTTTTTGCATTGGAGTTTGAAAAGCTTGATGTATAATTAATATTTCATCTTCCACATCCTTTTTCTTAAAACATCTAAACATGCCTTTTACATCCTGACTCATCAAAGGAACGCTCCTCAGTCTTCTCTTACAGGAGCGAGACACAATATGCACTGTTGTTATTGGGTAGTGTCAGGTTAGTTCCGACACATAGCAATCCCACGTCCAGCAGAAAGAAACACTGCCTGGTCTTGCACCATCATCGCCCACTGTGTCAGCCCATCTTGTGGAGAGCCTTCCTCTTTTTCTGCTGACCCTCTGCTTTCTCAAGCATCATGTCCTCCTCCAGGGACAGGTCCCCTCCGAATAACATGCCCAACGTACGTGAGACGTGGGCGCACATCCTCATTTCTAAAGCGCATTCCTGGTGCACTTCTTTCAAGGCAGATGGACATATTCTTCTGTCAGTCCAAGTGCCCATTCAATATTCTTCAGCAATATCATGCTGCTCCATTCTTCCCGATTCCCTGGTCAACTTGCGCAGGCCTCTGAGGCCATTGAAGACCCGTGGCTTGGGTCAGGCACGTCTCTGTCCTCAGAGTGACATCTCTGCTCTTTAAGATTCCAAGGGGGCTTGTTCAGTGAATTGGCCCAGTGGAATACATCTCTTGCTTCACTGATATTTGCTGCCAAATTAGGCTATCATTCATGCTGCCAAAGTAACGAGCTCAGGGCAAAACGATACAACCAATTGTGGCCGAAACAGTCCAGACAGGGGAAGGGATGGAGAGGTATTTTAATTCTGTAGAGTCAGGTGAGATCCATCCAAAACAAGTTCAGCAGGCAAGCACAGGGATACCGATGTCAAGCATCCCAGACCCAGAAGAACAGAGCCTTTGCCTCCTTCTTCCAAGCATGAAACCCAGACGTGAGGGTTAGAGATACTTATGAAAGGTTATATTAAAACAAACAACCACAAAAGAACACGTGGGCACTGAGATGTGTTCTCCTTCAATCGCCCATAGGTATAAAGCATTTTTCTGGAGAAATACCATACAGAATTCTTTTACCACCAGACATAGGGGAGCCAGTGACATCTCGGGCACCTGCTTTCACCCCCAGGAATGTAAAGAAGCAGAAATCTGCAGGGCCAGGGGACCCTCTTTGCCTCGGAGACCAGCGCCCCACCCCCTCCGCCCCTACAAGAACCAGCACTTACTCAGCTGTCCGGGGACAGGGACACACACATGCCTGCCTGTCGCTCAGGGTTGTGGAGTGTGTGCTGACACCTCTGTGCGTGTGAAGAGAAGCGGGTGCTTGTCTCCATGTGGGACGTGCTAAGAAGGGCCTTAATGGTATGCTGTCAAGAACGTCATGCAAAAAGCCGTCACCCACAGCCTGGGGGCCGGCCCACGGCCTCCCTTGTGGGCCTGCACAGGCTATCATCTCTTTCCAGGGGCCCACTGACTTTTAACAAGGGGGTCAGAAGCTTGACCTCAAGTGGAACCTTGACTTGAAATCTACAAGCACATAACACACCGCTGGCAGTGAGGAAGGGCTTCTCTTCAAGAGACAGCCCCTTCCACGGTCATTCAAAAGGGCGCAGTACAATTTTGGGATTGGGGAGGGGGACGGACCCAGAACACGATTGCAACCCTTGGGGCACCTGTAGCCCCCAAGTCAAGCACAAACATTGTCCTTAACCTCACGGGGTCATTGTGGGGCAGTTTAACTCTGACAAAAGAGCATTCACATGTTCAAGTGTGCCCTGTGGACACAGCTCCAGGGCGCCCAAGTAATGCATCAGTAAGTGCACAGAACAAGTCTGAGAGGACCCGTCAATGCCTCGGCTTCACTGTGGAAATCACCCCCAGGAGTCGTCCCCAGAGTCACCCGGACTGCATGACTGTGTCAAGACTGCCTTCTGCACACAGTAGGGTTAGAAGACAAGATGGAACCGATTTGCCTCCCCTACAGTAGGCGTGACCATTGTCACTCTTTCCCTTTCCGTCCCAGGATTGTCATCCCACTTAATATCCTGTTGCCCACACTGCACTTGGAGTAATTTCGGGACCCAGTTGATTTCCCTCTACTAGATCTGACAGATATACTTTGGTCATATTAACAATTCACGGCAGGGGACACCAACGGGGACCTTTCTCCCGATGCCGTGCACTGGGCGCCTCCCACAGGGAGTCCTCCTGGTCTAGTGGGACCGTGGTGGGCGAGGATGCTATTTTCCTTTGCTTCCCCTTTGGCATAAGGGTCAGACTGCTTGGGTTCAAATCCTGGCTCTATCATTTTATAGCTGTGTGACCTCTCGCCAGCTCTTTAACCTTAAAGACCCCTTTGTGGAATGGAGATACTCATCGGGTCACTGTGGGGGGCACAGTCCATGATTTATGTAAAGCACTTAGCACACTGACTGCTTGTAAGGGAACACTTCGTGCATGTTAGTTGCTATGCTAATTAAGGACTGGCCACGCTTTCTTAAGTCATGGTAACCAGACGCAATCTGCAGGGAAACGGCCATTGAGCATAAAGTTCACACTGTCCTGTTTCTAAATTTGCACTCTTTCCAAAAAAATGTGTATAAATATATTAGGATCTATCAACTTGGAGCTGTTGGATAGGTGGTGTTTCTTCCAAAAGGTTTGCGCAAGGATATACGCACCAGCACCCGATTAATACAGATCATCACTGGTGTGTATTACTTTGATTTCGGCTAGCAACTTCATCTGCAAGGGTGAGACTGCAATGAATAAAAGCAGAACTTGGCCAAAGGAAGTGAGTTGAAAGAAGAAAATGGTCCTATCTCTCAGTTAGTGTCAGAATGTGGACTGTTTACAAAATGCTCATTAAAAGCAAAAGGGATCTCAAGATAGAAACAAAATCTGGTGCACAAGTTTACAGTAGGGAGATAAGGAAGGTTAGGCCCCTATAGGGGATTTTGTTATCCAATTACTGCAACCTGCCTTTTGGGGGGAGAGGAGGAGGAGGAGGGGGAGGGAGAGAGTGCGAAAGAGTTTCCAAACTTGTCAACTCCGATGACATGAGACATTTACGCTCTGCAAGATAAAGCTGCCACTTAGAGCCCAGGAGAGCTAAACCTTCCTGGTTGGGCTGGGGGCTCGAGCGGAGTCATGGGTTCTCCGGCCCTGCGGCTGTGCGCTCTCTTCTGCCTGGCGGCTCACTGGGCTTCTGGCAGCCCCATCATGAGTCTTGAGCAGTCACCTCTGGAAGAAGACATGCCCCTCTTCGAAGACGTCTTCTCCGAGCAAGATGGTGTCGACTTGGATGCGCTTCTGCAGAGCATGAAAAACGAGTTTCTCAAGACGTTGAACCTCTCTGACATCCCGCTGCAGGATCCGGCCAAAGTGGATCCACCGGAGTACATGCTGGAGCTTTACAACAAGTTTGCCACCGACCGGACCTCCATGCCGTCCGCCAACATCATTCGGAGTTTCAAAAATGAAGGTAAGCTCGCCTTTGCGCTGATGAAAATGGGCTCGGCTTTTCTGGTTTTTTCCCCCACAGGCGACAAGGAAATTAGTCATTGGTGGGAATGGTACCGACTGGGAGGGGGTGGGCTGCCCCCCGCAATGCAAATTTTGGTCTACAAATACCCTGACATGGTCCTTTCAGAATCCCAAAAGATATTAAAGAAAGTCTTCATCTAAAGCCTTCAAAAAAGTCTACCACATCGACACTGTGATGGGGGCTTCTTAACAGTTCAATGTGAGCTCCCAGAATACGAAGTGGATCCACTCCTATACACACATCGCTGTGTGTACCAGATAGGCCTCAGTTTCCATTTTGGCTTTTAATTGACTGCACACGTTGTCAACTGCCAATGTCAATGGAATGGCGAAAACAGCCCCAAACTGGGGAAAGGTGACTTGTGCCTCACTCAATACTTTCATGGCTTTTCCGTTTGTGATTTTATTTAAGGAATATTCGAACGGGGTGAAAAGGCTTATTTTGGAAGTTCTTTTTTTTTACTCAATTTTTTTGGGCTCATACAATTCATCACAATACATAGATCAATTGTGTAAGGAGGTTCTTTCTTAACAGTGTGCTGTGCGTGATGGGTCCCTCGTAGCCTCGCACACCGTATATACATTGGGGGATGCGTCTGCGCCCAACTGATGGCCCAGCTGGTCACTGATGGGTCCTGAAGAGAGATAATGCACAACGTTTGAAGAGTTTGGTCGGAACAATGGTTTCTCCTCCCAGATCTTTAAATTCAGTAACAAAATCGAATGGGGCAGCAAACGAATCCCTCATTTAAGATGGGGTTCATTGGCCAATTTCCCCATCCCCAGCCTAACGTGGGGGGTAGGAGTTGTGGGTCTCACGAAGCTAATTCCTTAATATTTGCCAATTATGCTTGTACAGTCGTTAGGGACAGGGGAAAGCGAGCTTAGATTGATGTTGTCCAGATGTTCTGGAGAGCAGGCAAGACAGTGTCAAAGTGATACGCTCAGGAGTTGGAATTTTGAGAGCCGGCTGAGAAGGGTTTGCTTAACTTCCCTGTTTCCTCGTTGGTAAATCGGGGATGCTGACAGCCCCGCCCCAGAGTTGAGTGATTCCGTAGAGGTTGCAGGTGAGATTCCGCCATTTGCTCTGAAGGACTCGACCAACCCTGGTTCTTCTTAATAACGTGCTTAACATTCTAGGCATTGCAATACATGCCGAGGAAGCATTGCCACCCTTTGCCTATAGACATCCATCCACCTCCAACATTTATAATATCCAGCAACATGTGAATTTACAGGTTCCTTTTGGAGGTGGGGCTGAATTGAAAATGCACCGCCTTCTTCTGTGGGGACCGTCCCTAAGGGTTCCCAGCTTGATACAGGCACGAGTGGGGAAATTATGTTTACATCCCTTGGGAAAATAGGACTGCTTCCAGTTCTCAGTTCTCCTAAAGAGCACAATTGGCTGGTCTTGGCTAGGAGGTGGAGTTGGCAGGACTTGTTATGATTTGGGGTTACTGAAGGCAGGAGAATGGAAACCCGGTTGCCAGACTTCTGCAGGTCTACGGTGGCGTGCTCAGCCTGGAGACGCCAGAATCCTGCACGGGGGTCTCCCTGTTGCCTGCTATCATGCCTATTCTGACCCACTGGGTCTGTTCCGTACAGCTCCCCAAGAATACAAAGACCCAAATCTTCCAGTCTAGCTAAATCAATGTCGCTCCAAGGTGACAAGGCAGGCCTTTGTCTCCTAGCACTGCGTATCTTTACCTCATGGCTGATCATCTCTGTCTGCCAGGAGGCTCAATATCTTCCAGGGTAAAATGAACCGAGTGGCCATGCACCTGACCTTTGAGGGGACATTGCAAGAATGGAAGAAGACAATGTTTGCCAAGTGATGTTTGCAAATTAGCTCCACCATCATTCATTCCCTTGCCCTCGTGGCATAGTGGGGTACTTGTTGGACTGCTAACCCCAAGGACAGCAGTTTGAACCCACCAGGAGCTTCATGAGCGAAAGATGAGGCTGCCGGCTTCTGTAAGATTTACAGCCTTGGAGACTCACGGGCGCGGTTCTATTCTGTCCGTGGGGAGCACGGTGAATGAGAATTGACTGGGTGGCAGTGAGTTTGGTTTTTCTGGCTTGAGCTATCATTTACTTCATTTGCATATGCACAGAACAATAAAGTATTAATGGCAAATGACAAACTACTCATTTAAAAGGTGTAATTTGGTAAGTTTTGGCATATGTAAACACCTGTTAATCCACCACCATAATCAAGATAGTGACCACATACATCACTGCCAGCAATTTTCTTGTGCACCTTTGTAACCCCTTCCTCACACCATAGGAAACCTTTACCCTATGTTTCCTTATTCATGGAACAATCAGTCTCTCCCTCATCTTCGGTCTTCCCATGTACTCTGTTCAAGGAGAGCTCATGGGCTCTAGTCTTACAGTGTGGGGTGAGCTCTCACGTTACCTTTGCTTATTCAAGAGCTGAATGTCATGGTCACCAATCATGTGATCTGGTGCCCAATATCATCCATTCATCAATATTTTATCAATTAGTTTTTTTTAAAAAACAATATGGTCATGGTTCCAGGTATTGTTATAAATGGGAGGCATCCAAGGTACTTCAAGCACTGTTACCTGATGCACGTGGACAGGTTAGTTGGGACAGTTCATTCATAAAAATACAATTGAAATACAAAGATGTAAAGGCCGGAGGAGATATTTACAGAGTAAGTGCTCAAGGCCCTCAGAGGGGAGTGAACTTCTAGATAAGGAAATGAGGGCGAGGGGGCGGCACAGAAAGGGATTAGAGCTGGGTCTTGCAGTACAACGGTTAAGTAGAGACAAGGCATGATGGTTTTCCAGAGATCAGAAAACACGTATACCCAAAGGGGTGAAATACAGCAAAGCAAAGGAATGTTTTCTCAGGTATTGGAGAGCTCAGTCTCTTGACCAACAGTAGTTTATAAAAATCCACTCAATCATTCAGCAAACATTAATGGCACAATTGCTGTGGCCCGTGTATCGTAGCGGACGGATGGCGGGATCTAGAGGTTAGGCCTTAACCGTCGTCCATTACAGAATGGGGAGGGGCCTTGGAGATGGTATGAATAAGCCCCCTGTCCTCCATTTTCCCTCTAGTGGCTAGCCATCCATTTGAACAAGTTCATGAGTTTGAATTCACTCCATTGAACAGTATTGAGAGCCATGCCAGTGAGCTTAAATTTGATTCATTGGCTACTATTTCCCTCCAGCTGTGGGAGAGGTGACCTGGAATGGTACTCAGAGGAAGCTGTCATAATAAAGTTGGATATCTTCTAATATTGTAGATTATAAGGAAAATATAATGATCACATCAAACCCTTCATTTCATGACTTTTGTAGCTGCGGGACAGTGTGAAAGAGGCAGTAAGCACAAACATAACCAGGTCAAGTTAAAGGAGACGATTGAAGAGTCTAGTCTGGAACAGGCACCGAGAGAAAGAAATCATGAGCTGGGCTGTAGTTGCGTAGCTTAGGAGCACTGCCAAAGAGGATCGAGAACGCCTCAATCGGTGGTCCTCAGCATCAGTGGTGACAGAGGGGTTGTGCGCTGGGTTGCTAACTACAAGGTCAGTGGTTCAAAACCACCAGGAGCTCCCCTGGGGAAAGACTAGACAGACAGGGCTTCCCAGTCCCACAAAGAGTTATAGTCTATAGGGGCAGTTCTACCCTGTCCTACAGGGTTGCTATGATTCAGAATGGGCTCATTGGTAGTGAGAGCATCACTGGTGTCCGGATCCCTTTGATACTCTGACAACAAATGCCCCCAGGGACTCCTTATGGGCATGGCTTACCTGAAGCTAGTGCACAGGGCTTTAGGTTCACGGTAAAATCCTGAGATATGAAGTCAGCATTTGCAGGTATGTTTATCCAACGGTGGTGGTGGCGGTTGGGTGCCATCGACTTGGTCCCTGTAGAATGAAGCATTGCCCAGTCTTGTGCCATCTGCACAATCATGATGTTTAAGCCCATTGTTACAGCCACTGGGTCAGTCCATCTCCTCAAGGGTCGGCTTCCCTCTTCTATGTCCTGTGACTTTACGAAGCGTGATGTCCCCAAGAACTCCTGAAACAAGTTGTTTAGTGAACAGTAGTGAATGTTTTATACGTATTCAACTCTCTGTCAGATGCCGGAACTCTACTACCAAGGCAATGAACCTATCTCTGCACTTTATTTTCTCCCAAACCACCTTATTGAGATCACATGCCCCAATACCACATACTGTGACCCTACTGGTTTTTGGCTACCTGGTTGACCTTCTGTGAAGCCACTTCTTCCTTCAGCAAGTTTTTCTCTCAAGGGCCAGATAGCCAATATTTTAGCCTCTGTGGGTCATCTGTTCTCTCTGGCAAATCTCCCCCCCTGCTATTGTAGCACACCAGCAGATCTAGATAATGCAGAAAGAAAGGGGCTGGGCTGTCCTTCATGTCAGAGTATCAGGGTCCCCCAGTGTTTCCTGGGCTGCCTCCGGTCTTTCTCCCATGGAGCTGCTGGCTGACTTCAAACTGCTAAACTTTGGGTGAAGCGTGGAGTGTAGGTTTGAATGGAGGTTTCCAGGGAAATCATTGCCAAGTGAACCAGGTGGTGAGCGCTACCCCTCCCACATACAAGTGTGCAAAGCTGAGCGGTTCTCCACACTGAAAAATGTCCCAAACAGCTCCACCACCACATTGCCCATGACGTGGCTTGTCACTGGTTAGACGCCCAGGGGCGCGCCCTCACAAGCTCCGTCAGCTGGTCGAGAAGGAGGGGTGCGTTTCCTCTTACTCATTAGACTGGCATCTTTTACGTTCGCCTTGGCCGCCTCATTCAGCTTAGCCTTCCACCCTTGACCTGTCGGCATGTTCTCTATCAGAGAATGCAGACACTGTGTTTGTTCCATTCTGCTTCCTCCGACGAAATTTCCTACGTGGAAAGGCCCTTTCCTTACTGAAACAAGCAGCTGTTTTTCTCCCAACCCCATTAAAAATCTAATCGTTGTCTCTCTCTCTCTTTATTTTTGGTCAGATCTATTTTCCCAGCCTGCCAGTTTTAACGGGCTCCGAAAATATCCTCTCCTCTTCAATGTGTCCATTCCTTACCACGAGGAGGTCGTTATGGCTGAACTCCGGCTGTACACCCTGGTGCAAAGAGACCAAATGCTCTACGAAGGAGTCGACCGGAAAATCACCATTTATGAAGTCCCAGAGGACAGAGAGGACGGGGGACGTGAAAGCAACATGCTGGTGTTGGTGTCTGGGGAGATCTATGGGACCAACAGCGAGTGGGAGACTTTTGATGTCACAGATGCCGTCCGGCGTTGGCAAAAGTCCGACACGTCCAACCACCAGCTGGAAGTCCACATTGAGAGCAGACAGGAGGAAGTGGGGGACCTCGGCAGGGGACAGCTGGAAATAGACACCAGTGCCCAGAATAAGCATGTGCCTTTGCTAGTGGTGTTTTCTGATGACCAAAGCAGCGGCAAGGAGCAGAAGGAGGAACTGGATGAAATGATTTCTCATGAGCAACTGCTGGAGCTGGGCAACCTGGACCTGGATGGCTACTCCAGCGGTCCCGGGGAGGAAGCTTTGCTGCAGCTGCGGTCCAACATCATCTACGACTCCACCGCCCGGATCCGAAGGAATGCCAAGGGAAACTACTGCAAACGGACCCCGCTCTACATTGACTTCAAGGAGATCGGGTGGGACTCCTGGATCATCGCTCCGCCTGGATATGAAGCCTACGAATGCCGCGGGGTCTGTAACTATCCCCTGGCCGAGCATCTCACCCCCACGAAGCATGCCATCATTCAGGCCTTGGTCCACCTGAAGAATTCCCAGAAGGCTTCCAAAGCCTGCTGCGTGCCCACGAAGCTAGAACCCATCTCCATCCTCTACTTAGACAAGGGCGTCGTCACCTACAAGTTTAAATACGAAGGCATGGCTGTCGCTGAATGTGGCTGTCGATAGGGGAGGCGTCCTCTGGCTTATTTAACAACTGTAAATGTGTACATTGTGCTCCTATTTAATGAGATTATTTAATGAGGGTGTACAGATAATATCGGCTTCCTGCCTTAGGGGAACGGGCAGGTCGTGATGCTGTTGGAAACGCGTATGCTGTTGTCAACTCTGGTCCCTTCTGATCTGTTTTCCTTTGGATTTGCCGTTTGCTGACAAGGCTGTCTCTCACAGCCAATGGCAGGCCCACACCCCTTCCTTGTCCTTCACACAAGCAACAACCCCGACACGGAGATATAGTATCAAAAGACACACCGTGTATGGACACGTGTGCATACACGAAGGTATAAATATCTCCAGGTTCTATCTAGGCCAATTGGATTCGTGGTACATGACTCATTCAAAGGTGTGTACCGTATATTAAGAGCGAGCGGCCTGAACTCAATCACCCCTTCTCCAAGTAGGATTCACGGCAAGACGGTTCATACCAGGTAGTGATGAGACAAGGGGCCCTGGTGGTCCAACGGTTAGGCTCTAGGATGCTAAATGAAAGCTCAGTCGTTTGGCCCACTCATTGCTCCACAGGAAAAAGAGGTGGCATGCTGCTTTCAGAAAGACAATAGCCTTGACAACCCTCCGGGACAGTAGGACTGTCTCAGAGTCGCTGAGAGTCGGAGTCAGCGTGAGGATGCACAACAGCACATTAGCTGTCCTGTGCAGAGTCCCTGGGTGGTGCAGATGGTGAAGGTGTTTGGTTGATGGTTCCAGTCCAGCCAGAGGTGCCTCCAAAGCAAAGCCTGGCAATTTGGCTTAAAAAAAAAAAGACCTCTAAGAAATCCTGTGGATTACAGTTCTGCTTATCCACATGGCGTCCCCGTGGGTTGGATGGAATCAATCCAATCCGACTGGGTAGTTTGTTCATTTTTAAATTTTCTTTATGGAGTGTTCCCTGTCGTCCACTCGGCTGTGTGGCAGAGTGGCTTTTGCCAGTTGAATTTCTGCCATTGTTCAGAGCAGACGACGGACACTGCGTGTTTGTGGGGAGGAACTCTTTGATAGAAAGACCACCTCCCATGGGAGAGGCTGCAAGGCGCTGAGCATGACCACAGCAATTAGTAAGCCCACAAGGGGCCCAGGTGGCTCTAGAGGGAAGCACCTGGCCAAGAAAGGAAACCAGGACTTCAGGATGAAAGAACGGAAAAGCAAGGTCATGATCCCGGCCTTTATTGCTGACAAGGGTGGAGGAAGTGAGAGAGGGCTTGTAGGGGAGAAGGGGCACCAGAAATAAATGGGCTTGCAAAACTATACGCAGTTCCAATTGGGACAAAAAGGTAATGACTCAAGGTCAAGGGGAGGGAATTCAGAAGGGACTTGTGTTGCTAGACTATTCACCTCTCAGCTTTTTTTCCACCTCTGAGTATTTTCTCTCTTGCCTCTGTACCCTCTGTTCTTGCTCCTGTTCTTTTTTTCTTCCCTCTTTCTTCTTTGCCCCAGTGCCTCCTGTCGTCCTCGTGTTCCTGTGTCCCTGTCTCCCTTGGGTGCCATTACCCTGGCTGTAGGCTTAGGGGGGACACATGACAGAAGCAGCTGTTAACGTGGAGTGGTTTGGTGTTTTAGAATCCCCCCAGATGTCAAATTTGATTCTGTTTTGATATTACCCTTTATGAAATACTTTGCCCAGGAAGAACACAAATCAGGAAAGTAAGTAAGTCATTTAAGAAAATAAATAGGCCCACAAGCAAAGGACTTGACAGCCAAGTCTGAATTCTGGCATCCGGCTTGCTCCCAAGTATTAACTGTGTAGTCCTCCCTTTCCTTTCGGGGAACTGGGTCTGGGAAGTTAAGAGGTCCTGGCAGGAATGGCCTAATGATTTACCCAGCAGGCGGGGACTGGGAGATACCGAAGACCCTGGCTCTAGTCCTAGTTCCGCGTCTACAGGGTCAGGGGCTCCGTGTAGGAGGAACCAGGTCAGAGTAGTTCCCAACCACCTCCCATCTCTAGACAGGCCACATGGGGGGCTACCCTAGTGGATTCTAGGACAATGTCCACCATTCACCCCTGATTAATGCTCCTTTAACAAGCCTGGTGCTTTTTGCTGTTCTTTAACCTGGAAAGCCATTGGTCTCCCTTCTCCAAACCTCTTGTAGTTATAAAATTATATTGAACTATACAATGAAGGCAAGACTAGTCATTTTAAAGGACCTTTTGCCTAATTTTGACCTCAGCTCTGTATACCTCCGTTACCTACTGCTGTCCAGAGGGGATGCGGTCCTGGGAGTAATGCTGTCTGTCCCCCGGAAGCCTGGAATTTCAACCATTAGTGAATCTATAGACAGAGGCGATTTGAAATGGCCAGGGAACTCAGAATCATTCATTTCTGTAATAGTTTTCATGTAAAATAACCTGTGTGTGTGTGTGTGTGTGTGTGTGTGTGTGTGTGCAACTGGTTTTGGAGAGCCAAGCTTAGTGCCCTCAAAGGCAGGTGGTGCATCTTCTATACTCTAAGGTACACAATACATACTCAACGGTACATCACCAAATAGACAGCAAAACCATGGCTGAACAGGATAGCTCTGGCTAGATACACTTCAAGCAAACTTTTCTTTGTGTCTAAAATCTAAGACCAGGGTGTGCTGGTAAACATTTCCCGGAGCTGGGGTGGGGTGGGAATTTGTAGGTTGCAGTGGTGTAAGGACTCCCACCTGACATCAAAAATTCATGGCTTATCTCAAGTACCCGGGAGATGTTGACTGGCTTGCAAAATCCGGAAAACTTACTGAAGGGCTCTCAAGGGCCCGTGTGTGCCGGCGCGCTACTGGTGTGAGCGCCCTGATAGGACAACACGCACACAGTGCCAGCTCCTGCTGCCCCTCCGCCCTCTGAGAGCCTGCTGGTGGGCGCAGGCTGGGAGCATGGCAGATCCTGAGCTTTTTCAGCAGCCAGGCAAACCTAAGCCGTCCACGGTTCAGCCACATCCCCAGATGCTTCTCCGTTTTCCAAAGTCCCGAGGTCAACCTGTATTTCTAGTTTGTTTTCCCCCTTCTTCAGTATGGGAAGAGAATGTACAATCTCCTAGTATTGGTTCTTCAAATATTGCTAATTTCATATATTAATGTTGTTTGGCTCTCTTCTCATAAAAACAAAAACCTAGAAAAATATAAATCAGAACGGGAAGTTTCTCTTTTCCCTTCCAACCTTGCTCCCTTCCGGCCCCTCCCAGCACCTCTGCAGCAGCTCCACATCCCTCCGGTTCATACCACACTAGACCGTTGCCAGAGTCAAAGCCACATTCTTCCCTGGCCCTAGACCTTCCACTGGGCCCCCAACAGACATTTGATGGCAGAGTTCTCGTCACTGGAATCCAGAAAACTAAACAATCCTTGGGGGGCAGTGGGAGCGGAGACTTTGGCAGACGACAACCCAAATATCCATGTAGAAGTTTCTGGGCTTCCTCCTATTTATTGATTGCTATATTTATTTTTGTAATATAGTGTAGAATAACAAATATTTTATTTTTGTGTTTGTAATTCCCTCTTGGATAGAATATCCCTCTCTGCTTTCTCCAATCGTGTTCTTCAAAAGTATGGTTCATTTCCGAGAGATGGCCTGTGTGTTTTCATCTCTCTTTGTGCCTGGATATTTCCTTTTGTTTTAAGAAGCTTCGCCAAGAAAGCTTGCCATCACTCTGTGTCATTGTGTCATGGAAGCATGCTGTGAGCCCCCTAGGGATCATTGCTGATTTGTACAGTGCTCACTGACCTGTAGACATTCTGGGGAACAGTTCACCAATAAATGATCTCCTGGTTGCAGATCCTGACTGGCGTTTGTTTGCAGGCCTCGAACATTCAGACAGGGCCGACCCAGGAAAGGAAAGATGGTAGAACCCGATCGCTACGCAGGGAACCGGTTCAGCATTTAACTAGGCCCTTCTTGAGTAAGCACTGGGCTGCTAATAGAAAGGTCACTCATGCAAACCCACCTGCGACTTTCCGGGCGAAAGTGAAAACTCCCTGCTCCGGTAAAGGTTTACAGCCTCGGAAACTCGGTACAGCGTCTCTGAGTCACGCTGGCCTCACCGGCAGTGGGTTCCGTTTGGT